AATATGTAGGAATAAATTTAACCTAGATCGAAAGAGTGTAAGTCTTTAAAAAACTGTAAGACACTGAAGAAAGAAAGTGAAGAGGATACAAATAAATTGAAGAATATACCATGCTCATGGATTGGAAGGATTGATATTGTTAAAATGTTGGTGGGATTGCGAATTGGTGCAGCCACTATGGAAAACAATGTGGATTTTCCTCAAAAAATTTAAAAATAGAGCTGTCATATAATCCAACAATACCATTTCTGGGTTTTTATTTGAGGAAAAAAGTACAAATTAAAAAATATATATGTACCCTTATGTTCATTGCAGCATTATTTACAATAGCCAAGATATGGGAGTAACCTAAGTGTCCAGAGATGAATAGATAAAGAAGATGTGTACATATAAAATGGAATATTACTGAGCAATAAAAGAATGAAATGTTGCCCTTTGCAACAACGTGGGTGGACCTAAAGTATATTATGCTGAGTGAAATAAGTCAGAAAGACAAATACTATTATAATTTCACTTCCAAGTAAAATCCAAAAAAACCCCAAAAAACAATAAACCCATAGATCTAGAGAACAGGCTTCTGATTGTCAAATGGGGGAGGAGGTTGAGGGGTGGTTGAAATTTTTAAAAAAGGTACATAGATTAAAAGGAAAAGTGGTACAAAAACAACAAAATGTTAATAGTGCCAAGGTTGAGAATTCCAGACTAGATGAGTTTTAGAGGAAGAATGTTGATAAGCACACTTGGGGGAGATTGAGCCCTGCTTCACTCTAACTTGCAGTTCAGGGGGGTTAGAGGAAGCCAACAAAGGAGATCAACAGGCAGGCAGATAGTAGAGTGGAAAGCAAGGAAGGTCTTGAAAGCTAGTGAAGAAACCTTTCACAAGGATAAAGATGGCAAATTAACTGTTAAATGCTGTTACTTCTGATGCTTCTCATGGATTGGATATTCACCTCTGGTATTTAATAAAAGGAAAGACCATCATTGTTGATAGGGGTTTTATAGAGCGATGAGGGTCAAATTCTGGTTGGAATAGACTGACGAGATTTTAGCAGACAGTTTTCAAGTAAAGAGAATCAGAAAAAAGGGGGCAGTGGTGATGGTGTGGAAGAAGTTTGCCTTTTGTATTATTTTAAGAGGGGAAGTACTATACAGGGTGGGGCAAAGTGGGTTTACAGTTGTATGTGAAACAGTTTATCCCTATAGAATTATTAATTACTAGAGGCCCGATGCATGAAGATTCATGAAGAATGGGCCTTCCTTCCCCTGGCTGCCGGCACCACCTTCGCTCTGGCCCAGAGCTGCCTTTCTGCCTTCCCACGCTGCCCAGAGGCCCTGAGGTGGCTGGGGCAGCATGGAACGCCTGCATCGTCGGACGATGCAAGCATCCTGCCCGCCCCCAGCCGCTTGGTGCCTGCGTATGCAAATTAGCCCGCCATCTTTGTTGGGTTAATTTGCATACTCCTGATTGGCTGGTGGGCGGCATGAAGGTACGGTCAATTTGCATCTTTTTATTAGTGTAGATTGTTTTCCATACTGGAAACATACTTTCCCCCACCCTATATATAGCATGTTTGTATTCTAATGGGAATGATCCTGTGTGTGTGTTGAGAGGGACTTGATTTAGGAGAGTATGAAGTAATTGTTTTCTACCAAACATACAAAGAAAGCAGTTATCGCTAGCTTTTGATCCCCAGAATAGGTTTAATAAATAAATAAGCACCTCTGTTACATGAACTAAAGTGTGAGGGAGAAGATTTCTCTGCCTTTCCAGTCACCATTTTCAGCTTAGAGCTGCCTTTGCTTGTCAGTAGGAGTGGTACTTTCCCAGCCCATCTGAACTTTTTGTGGTCAACCCTTTTGGGAGTGGAGAAACAGCACTTTCCTCCCAACATCTTTGCTTCAGTGAGATGAAATAGAATGAGCTCGAGAGTCTTCCAGAGCTGGTACAGTGTGATGAAGAACATCCTCAGATGATAATTTCAATTCATTAACACATGTATTTCAGACCCCCTTATTATTAGGTAGCCTGTCCCAGATCCACAAGTCAGTCTGTCTTAACCATTCTATGCTTAGAACAGAGCTAGGTGCATAGAGGAGCTCCCAGCATAATTTCCCTCAAAAGACCAGAGCTGAATGTGGCACCCAATTTTTTAATGGGATATAAAAAGTAGCTGCTGTATATTCTAGCTAGTTTTTTGTTGTTGTTGTTTTTTACTTATTTATTGTCTAAAGTTTTACATATGTCTCCTTTTCCCCCAATTGACCCCTCCCCCCCAGCCATTCCCACTCCAGGCAAGCTTCCACCGCCCCAGTGTCTCTGTCCATTGGTTATGCTAATATGCATACATACAAGTCCTTTGGTTGCTCTCTAACCCCACCTCCCCTGCCATTTGTCTCTGGATCTATTCTTGTTCATCAAATTATGTTGATCATTATTTGATCACATATGAGTGAGATCATGTGATATTTATCTTTCTCTGCTGGCTTATTTCGCTTAGCATAATGCGCTCTAGTTCCATCCATGCTGTTGCAAATGGTAAAAGTTCCTTTTTTATAACAGCATAGTATTCCATTGTGTAGATGTACCACAGTTTTTTAATCCACTCATTGCTGATGGGCACTTAGGTTGTTTCCAAATCTTAGCTTTTGTAAATTGTGCTGCTATGAACATAGGGTGCATATATCCTTTCTGATTGGTGATTCTGGTTTCTTGGGATATAGCCCTAGAAGTGGGATTACTGGGTCAAATGGGAGTTCCATTTTTAAATTTTTGAGGAAACTCCATACTGTCTTCCACAGTGGCTGCATCAGTCTGCATTCCCACCAGCAGTGCATGAGTGTTCCTTTTTTTCCACATCCTCGCAAACACTTGTCATTTGTTGATGATAGCCATTCTGACAGATGTGAGATAGTATCTCATTGTTGTTTTGATTTGCATCTCGGGTGATTAGTGACTTTGTGCATGTTTTTATATGTCTCTTGGCCTTCTGTATGTCCTCTTTCGAAAAGTGTTTATTTAGATCCTTTGCCCATTTTTTGATTGGATCATTTATCTTCCTTTTGTTAAGTTGTATGAGTTCTCTGTAAATTTACATAAAGCAATTATTCTTACAGAACAGAACATTTTAGGATGTTTCAATAGCAAGTTACTGCATTACATGATAGGCAGCTGACAGTTCCAGGAGAAAGACCTATAGCATTATGGAATATAACCAACCATATGATCTCTGCATACTATGGCACTGGTGTTTGCCACAAGAAAGGTAACGAAGATATGCTCCCCATCCATTGAGAAAAATAGGTTGAATATTAAAAACAATAGTGAAAGAACTAATACTAATAATATTTGTGATACAATATTATGTACAATATTATAAATAATAAATTAAAATTAATTTATTGACTGCTTAATATCTGCTAGGCAGTGTGCTAAAATGCACTGTATGCATAATTTTTTCAATAGTCACAATAACTATTACTATAATCCTCAACTACTACCATCCTCAATTTTCTGATGAGAAAATTCCTGCTTGAATATATAAAATACCTTGAGCAAACTCTACAAACAAACGTGCGGCAGAAGTAGAGTGCAAAACTAGGTCTTTGAGTAAAAGCCATAATGTTCCCCCTGGGAGGGTGTGGGAGCTGCCCAGGTGGGAATTATGCCCTGTAATATTTATCTGTACAAAGTGGAAATAGGGTAAATAGTGATGTCGAGTGTCTGTTTTAAGAAGAAGAAAGTAAATTAGAGAATAAAGGCAGTCAAATACAAGGTGACAGAAAGACACTAGAGTTCAGGTGGTAAGAGTATACAGATATTGTATTATAAAGTTGCACACCTGAAATTTATATAGTGTTATAATCCTGTATTACCCCCAATAAATTTAATTTTTAAAAAAAGAAGAAAGAGGAGTCAAAAAGTAGAGTGATTTGTTGATGGCTTTGAAATGTGTGTGTTAGTCTTTTTTTTTTTTTAAATATATTTTATTGATTTTTTACAGAGAGGAAGGGAGAGGGATAGAGAGTTAGAAACATCGATGAGAGAGAAACATCAATCAGCTGCCTCCTGCACACCCCCCACTGGGGATGTGCCCACAACCAAGGTACATGCCCCTGACCGGCATCGAACCCGGGACCCCTCAGTCCACAGGCCGATGCTCTATCCACTGAGCCAAACCGGCTACGGCTCTAGTAGTTTTTTGATGGAGTCTTTGGGGTTTTCTATGTATAGTATCATGTCATCTGCTAATAAGAACAGTTTTACTTCTTCTTTTCCAGTTTGGATGCCTTTTATTTCTTCTTCTTGTCTGATCGCTATGGCTAGCACTTCCAGGACTATATTGAACAGGAGTGGTGAAAGTGGGCATCCCTGCCTTGTTCCTGTTCTTAGGGGAAATTAGTTTAGTTTTTGCCCATTGAGTATGATTTTAGCTGCAGGTTTCTCATATAAGGCTTTTATTATGTTGAGGTATGATCCCTCTATTCCTACTTTGCTGAGAGTTTTTATCAAGAAAGGGTGTTGGATTTTGTCAAATGCTTTTTCTGCATCAGTTGATATGATTATGTGATTTTTGTCTCTCAGTTTGTTTATGTGATGTATCACGTTTATTGATTTGCAGATATTGTACCAGCCTTGCATCCCTGGAATAAATCCCACTTGGTCATGGTGTATGATCTTTCTAATGTAATGCTGAATCCGATCTGCTAGAATTTTGTTGAGGATTTTAGCATCTATGTCAGTCAAGGATATTGGCCTGTAGTTCTCTTTTTTTGTGGTGTCTTTATCTGATTTTGGAATTAGGGTAATGTTGGCTTCATAGAAAGAGCTTGGAAGTGTGCCTTCCTCTTGAATTTTTTTTGAATAGTCTGAGGATCCAGCTAGGTTTTTAAAAAGGCTATTCAGGCACATTCTCAACTCCTTATACTTCCCAGAAAGTAAAGGGACTTTCCCCTGTGTTGTGGTTATCCAATGCTTTATAACAAACGACCTCACAGCTTGGTGGCTTAGAACAAAATCAATCATTTATTTTATTCACAAATTAGCAATGTTGGCTGGGCTTGGTGTAAGTAGCTGGAGCAACTTGACTTGGTCTGGAGAATTTACTTTGCAAAGGCTTATTTACCTGGCTGTGGACTTGCTACATGCTTTTATCTGGGAGTCCAGTTTGGGTCTCAGTTTCTCTCCACATGGGCTTTTCCAGGGCCACTTGTACTTTCTTACATGAACATGGTAGACAAGTATCTTGAGAAAAATGAAAGCTGTCAGTTTTTTCAAGGTGTGAGCCCCAAACTGACCTAGTGTCAAAGTTAAGGGTCATAGGCCCTGTTGCTTGATGGGTATCAAAAATTTTGTGAATTTATGACTACTTTAATCCACTACACACTATGATTCCAGAAGAGGAAAAGTGTTGGAGCAGCACATTTTTCTCCTCCAATGTGTACTTTTCTCTAGGGAGGAGTGACTTAACTGCCTGTTGAATATTGTAGGAGGAAGTAGGTACATGGACTGAGCCCCTTTTATTTGGGAAAGTCTCTCCAAAAGGTAGCATGCATCTAGCCTGCTGTCCTAGCATATGGTGGTAAGGTTGGTGAGTTAGGCTCAGCTCTTACGGTTCTCTTTTTTGCTAATATAAATGAACAGAACTTAACTACTGTGACTATTTTAAAGTACATTCACAATGTACAACCATCAAAATCCTTCACAACTCATTGTCACCTAGAAGGGAAACCACTTAATCACTCACCATTACCCCCATGCCCCAGCCCCTGCCAACCACTAGTCTGCTTCTAACTCTATGGATTTATACATCCTGGATATTTCATATAATTGGAATGATGTAGTATGTGGCCTTTGTGTGTGGCTTCCGTCACTTAGCATGGTTTTAAGGTTCATCCATGTCAGTACTTCATTTCCTTTAATGGTTGAGTAATAATTCCATTGTAAGGATGGTATTGCATTTTATTTATTAATCTGTTGGTGGGCATTTACATCATTTGGATATTGTGAATAATGCTGCTATAACATCTGATTTGACCTGGTCAAGAGTTGGGGAGGGGTGGAGGGAGACCCTAGCAGGGAATAAGAAGGAAGACTCAAGATTCACATACTTCGAAGGAGTTCATAAGCTCCCACACAGTCAGAATAACAGGAGTGGAAGTGTGGCCATAGGACACACTCCCTCAGACCTGGGGATGACAAGTATAACAAGAGCCAATGTTTGAGTAGTTAGTGTGTCAGGTTTCAGCACTTTGCATGCATTATCTCAGTTCTCACAATCTTACGGAATGAAGTGTCCCCATTTTATAGGAGAGGAAAGGTTTAACCCGAACTTCTTCCAGTGGAGGGGGACAAGGTGGAGAGTCCTGCCAGAGGGGGTGGTAAGTGGTGTTTGCAGGGTTGAGGAAATCTTTCATTGGCATTTACTTTGAACCATTCAAACAGTTCTCACCTACCTCTTCTTCCCAGTTCAGAGGCTGGGCAGGGGTGTGGTCAGGGCTGGTGGGGAGCAGCATTCCACCACCCTTTGAACCTGCAACATAACCCTTGGGGGCTGGAGGGGTTCTCAGGACTGGGTGAGCAGTTTGTGCTTGCTGCATCCTCTGGGGCCACCAGAGGGCAGTACTTGCTCACATCTTGGCCTCCCTGTGGCCAGGTATGGGAACATTAGAGCAATAGTGCTCAACCGTATCAGTCTCAATGCCTTTTTTTTAAACAATTATTTTTCTCATGTCCCCTTTAATAAAGTTCACCTAGGGAAATAATAAATATGATGCCTTAACTCTAAAGAACAAATAAGGGAGAGTAGCTTGTAATAAACGAAGGGCTTCAATATGTAATGTCTTTACTAGTCTGGTCTCACAGAGGCCTTGGTAAAATGTGGAGAGCAGACTGGGCCAGGGAGTCCCATGGTTCATTCGCTCAAATTCCATCTTTGCAGTTTTTTGTTGTTGTTACACTTCACCCAAGGATATTTTTATCATTGATTTTTTAGAGAGAGAATGGTAGGGAGGGAGAGAGGGGGAGAGAGAGAGAAAGAGAGAAACATCAATGTGAGAGAGACACATCGATGGGTTGCCTCCTGCATATGCGCCAGCTGGGGCCAGATCAAACCTGCAACCCAGGTATGTGCCACATGCCCTTGACTGGGAATTGAACCTATCACCCTTCTGTGTATGGGACAACACTCTAACCACTGAGCACACGGCCCAGGGCCATCTTTGCAGTTTTTTAAAAAATTTTTTGCTTATTCTTTTATTTTTTAAAATTTTTATTTATTTTTGTTAATCCTCAACCCGAGGTTATTTTTCCATTGATTTTTTTAGAGAGTGTAAGAGTGAGGGGAAAGTCAGAGAAACATTGGTGTGAGAGAAACACATCGATTGGTTGCCTCCTGCATGTGCCCCAACGAGGGCCAGGTCCAGGGCCAGGAAGGAGCCTGCAACCAAGGTATGTGCCTTTGACCGGAATCGAACCTGGGACCCTTTGGTCTGCAGGCCAACACTCTATCCACTGAACCCAACCGGCTAGGGCCTTTGCTGCTTTTTATATCCGTGAACTAGCTGTGCTTTTTATTTACTTATCCTGAAAGGACAGAGGATTCGGAGGTGTATGGTGTAAAATGACTTGCTGGTGAGTGGTTGATTTTGGACACGTTTCTGCTCCCAAGACCAATTTCCAAGGGATGCCAAGGATAGCCAAATTTTACTTATTTGTTGGAATATAGCCTGATCAAGAATGTTCCTAGTAAGGTAATGATTTCAGCACTGATTATATGATATCCTCTGATCATTTGATTGGATCACATGAATTTTAATTTCAGTGGAAGCTTAACTTTCCAAGTCCCCTCTCCTCCAGTGTGCAGAGCATGATGACAAGAGGACCACAAATTCCTAAAATCACATCCAAACAAGTATATTTCAACACATCGTGGTTTGTTCACCCTAACTAGAATTTAGAGTACAGTACCAGCATGGATGCTTTAACATGGTCAGGGACAGGATAGAAATGTATGCCTAGTTCTGTTCTGGACCACTGATAGGAAGTGACTTGGGTTTCATTTTAGAGCTTCCATAATTATAGCAATCATCTCTGGAAGACTTTTGTCCACACTGATTTGGATGAAATTTTCTGGAGCTGAGGGGGGTTCCAGAATATCAAACTGAGACTGCAATAACTCAGGTGGCATAAAATGTCCTTTTCTTTTGAGTAAGCGTCCCGAGATGACCTCAAATGACCCACTCAGATAGACCACAAGGAGCTGCACCTCAGCCGGCTTTCCCTCCTTCCCTGGCTCGTCACATTTTGGAGGTGCACCATCCTTTCCTCGTATTAAGATGTCTCTGTACACTTTCTTCAGAGCTGAGCAGGCTAGGATCACATGCTGTCCCGAGGTTACATCTCTGTTTAAAAAAAAAAAAAATAAAATAAAGACAGGGCGGGAGGCGGAAGTGGTAAAGAATGAAGACGTCGCCGAAACCGGTTTGGCTCAGTGGATAGAGCGTCGGCCTTCGGACTGAAAGGTCCCAGGTTCGATTCCGGTCAAGGGCATGTACGTGGGTTGCGGGCACATCCCCAGTGGGAGATGTGCAAGAGGCAGCTGATCGATGTTTCTCTCTCATCGATGTTTCTAACTCTCTATCTCTCTCCCTTCCACTCTGTGAAAAATCAATAAAATATATTTAAAAAAAAAAAAAAAAAAAAAAAAAAAGAATGAAGACGTTTAAAATACCAGGTGTCCATTCTAGGCCGAGTCCAGTACTACTTCCTGCCAGTGGAAGGTGCTATAAAACGGCGGTCAAGATTCAGGCAGTCCTGGCTTTGGGGTAAAGATCTTCCACTAGTAAACTGAATCATCTTGGGCAAGGTATGTACCTCCCTGACCACCAGTTCATCATCTGTTAAATGGGGCTACTCAGAGGACCTGCCCATGGAACCGTGGGAGGAAGTTTATCAAGGTGCCGGGTCTCAGCTCCTGTGAATGTAGGCTATGGCTCAGGCACAGCCTGCTGTCATTTTTTGAGCACTTTTATACTGATACTGGTTTAAGTACTACTCATGCCTCATCTTGCTAATTCTTCACAGTAATCTGCGACTAGGAACTATTTAACCCCCTTTTCAAATGAAGAAACAGGCTCATAGAAGCCAAGTGGCTGATTCCCAGCTAGTAATTGTGGAGCTGTCTAGGTTTGTGTCCAGAACCCAGCTAAACTATGTCTGTGGCTGATTAAAATCATTGTTGGTTATTTGATAGAAACACATTCCATTCCTGGGATCTTTTATCATCGGTCAGTTGCGATTTCAAGACTATATATTTTACCCTGTACTTTCTGATGGGTCTTCTTGACTCCCTGGTATGCCAAGGCCTGATGCTCTTACCTTAGTAAAATGTCATGCAAGTTGCAAAGCCATGGGATCCTGTCCTGAAATTAGAGCAGACACATAATGACTTTTCCAGCTATTGTTTGTTTGTTCAGAAACATCGTTAATTTTGTCCCTCAATGTTAAGGTCCAGAGAGATCTTAGTGGTTTTAAGAAGTAGCCCATACTCCAGGCCTAGGGATAAATCACTAGGCAGTTAAGCCCAGAAACATTTTCCTGGTTCAGGCGCCAGGGGCTCTTTTCAAAATACTAAAAATTGCCCTAAAATACCAGGCTATATCTCCCCCATCTAATCTCCCTGTTGTATATGTGTTCTCCCTGTTTCTGTTATGATTACAAGTCTCCTTTGATTGTATTGCATGATGGTGCCTCTGATCTCCAATGCAGGGAGATAAGATATTCATAGAAACCCTTATGTCAGCTACCCTTTGGTTCTATTCTTCAAACCCTCCTGAAAGAGAACTCCTGTCAGATAAAAGCACTGTGAGAAATTTATATTTTTCCAAAGACAAGACAGAAGAGGTTTCCTTAGAGCACCCTACAGTGTTTCACAAAGAAATCCTCCTGAGACAAGTTTTCTCTTCCTTCCCGGGGTAAATACTGATTGGCCATAATACATTAAAAAACAACAACCATGTTTTATTATGGAAATTTTAAATATGTACAAAAGCAGACAAAATCGTACAAAACAAACTTCTATGTACTCAACACAGCTTCAACAATTTTCATCAGGGATCGAACCATGACCTCCTGGTTCATAGGTCAACACAGCCACTGAGCCACGCTGGCCGGGCTAACTTAACTCCTATTTGCAACTCACTAAGGAGAAACATAACACTGGTACAGGCACATTTTACACACTATAGAAATGGTTTTCATTACATATGCATATCTGTATAGACATGACATTAGCAACAACAATAATTAAAATATTTATTGAAGGCTTTGGGTATTTCTCTGGGCATATTTTTTGTATTATCTCACTTAATCCTCCCAAGAACCCAATGAAATGGTACCATCTCTAACCCATTTGCCAAAGGTCACACAAGCTTAGAGGTAGAGTCTGGTTATCTACATTTATCTCTAGCACATTATCAGTATTATGTTTAAATTATTACTCTCTTTTATGGTTCACTCCTCCTATCTTCTAAAGTTAAATGTGAACTTAATTTTGATGGTTCAAGGCTTTGAATCATTGCAAACTCAAGCTGCACTCCCTGAAGCAAAGAGAAGTGCACCCTTAGAATGCTCCAGAATTGGGCCCACTAATGTTTACTGACTCAGTCCTTCAAGGCAGGACAAAGGGGAGAGAGAGATTGGGGGCACAACTGGGTGTGAGCCAAGTTCACAGAAAGTGAAAACTGCAGTGCGGGCATTTGGCCGGTTCCATTCTGTCCTGTCCTTTGGACACACTTGGTATGTGGACCTGGCTGGGGCCCCTGTACTGTGGACCTGGACCTTGACCTTGCCATCACAGTGGCTCCTGGGCTACGGCTAGTTAAGCCAACAAATCCACAGTTTGTAAGTGTGGCTTGAGAGAGACCCCTAGGAAATGGTCTCATGATGGTGCATATGGGAATGAAGTGCTATTCATTCATTCCTTCTCTCATTCGTTCATTTACTCACAAATACGCCACCAATATTCTCTGATACTTACTATGTGTCAGGCCCTGGGTATATACAATGGAAGAGAAATGGCCAGTCCCTGCCCCTTTGGAGGTGAAATCTAGTTGCAGAGATAAATATTAATCAAATTCTCACACCCTCAAATGCCAAGTTGCAACTGGGACATGGGCAATAAGGGATATGTTGCCAAGAGAGTTTATTATATGAGGTTTTACTTAAGTAGGTCAGGGAGGGCTTCCTTGAAGAAGTGGCACAGGAGCTGAGATGTGAAGGATGCGCAGGGTTAACTTGGTGGGGAGGGGAAGGAAGTACATTCCAGGCAGTGCGACCAGCAGGTGCAAAGGCCCTGGGAAGGAGCATGGGAGGAGGAACTGAAAGGGGCCACAG